ACGTAATTTTAAGGATTTTAAGGATCATACGTATGATGGTTCAGTTTTAGTTCACGGACGGACGGACGCGTTTTGTACGTACATTGTACGTACAATGAACGTACTGTGCCCGCTGGGTACATTTTTATCCTACCTTGCACAATATTTTCGTTGAAAAATTGAAATGCTATCCTGAGAATATACATTTTTCAGAAATTTCTGCAAAGTGTACTCTTCAAAGCATGTTAGATCACACTGTGAGTATAATAACAGAAATGATTGATATGCCTAAATTTGGTCAAAGTGATGAAATATTTGGAGTTTTATATGAAAATATTGGTTTTGATGGAGCATCCAGCCAAAGTATTTATAAACAGAAATACGATACAAGCAACGCAAGTATAGAACTTAAGCATGAAGAAAATCATTTCAGTACAGCTTTTGTGCCTTTATTGCTCAAAGTAGAAGATGGCAAAATTTGGAAAAATTAAAATCCTTCAAGCTGTCACTTTTGTAGACCTCTTCATCTACAATATAAAAAAGAGAGTCCAATTTTATCCAGAGAAGAAGAATCAGATCTAAAAAATCAAATAAATACCTTAAAGACGTTTTGCAAAATTTTTAATATTGCAGGAAGAATTTTGAAATTTAATATCAGCTATAGGATTGATCTTACAATGTTTGATAATAAAATAGTTAGCGCACTTACAGAGACAAAATCCACTCAATCCTGCAATGTGTGCAATGCTAAATCCAAGGAAATGAACAATATTGATTTATTAAAAGCAAAAACTGAGAATGACTTGGCCTTGGGGCTTGAAATTTCAGCTTTGCATTGCTGGATAAAATGCTTGGAACTCATTTTTCATTTGAGATTAAAAATTGAAATAAAAAAGTATAAGCCAAAAACAATTGAGGAAAAACTATCTGTTGACTTGAGGAAAACCGTTACCAGATAAAGTTTTTAGATTTATTGTAAAGTAAATAATAAATTTAATGTAAAAAAATACAGTAATTTTTCTCTATGTATCAACATCCTTTAAAAACCATTTTTTTAAAATATCAGGTAGAGTAATATATCAAAATTATGTGTTTGTCTTGAAGATTCTAAAAACTAAAAAAAAAAATTTGTACGCGTATAGCGCACATTTTACGCGTCAAAGCTTCACGTTAAAAAAAAAACTATGAACAAATTTAAAATCTTTAAATTAAAAATTATTATTTTAATATATAACATTATTTATTTAAGATTTATGTCAATTTTTATTTAATTTTTGCCATTTTTTGATTGTCCTGAGCCAATGTGTGCTGTGGGGGTATTTGCAGTAGGTCATGTCACAGCATGTGGGCGTATTTGTTACATTTATAGTAGGTCATGTCACAGTATGCATTCTTTGTTGACTATAATTTACTTAAACTACAATTAAAATGATTTGATGTTATATATTAGATCAAATTATTTTAATTATAGTTATGTATATATGCATCACACTCTCGAAACCATTCTAATAGATTACAAAAATAAACAGCCCTGGTTTATCTTGTTCTTCTGATCTTTCAAAAGTTGTGATGTGACAATTATTAGAATCTTTCTCAATAAAAAGTTAGGTCATTGAAAGGTTAATTTTTTACCATAAAAGTCTGCTTAACACTGATGAACTAGGCCAACTGTGCTTGGGAGCACCGTTGATAGTTCATTTCCCCTTTAAAAAAAAAGAAATGTAAATGAAAACAACCAAACCAATCTCTACAGAAAATATGCACACCTATAATAATGTGAAAAAAAAAAGTCAAACTGCAAATGAAATGGTTTTTGAACGGAGCAATTTGCTTAAATTGGACAGCAGTTACCAAATATTAAAATGTTCGGTTCGCTTATATGGAATAGCCATATGCAAAATTCCAGAATAGAATCTAGTATTCAGTATTCAGCCGAATAGTTTGCGATATTCAGCCAAATTCCAAATATTAATGAAATTAGCCGAGTAGGCTGAATACCAAATAGTCGCCGAATATACCGCAAATATTCAACGAATAGTTGACGAATAATCTACGAATATTTGACAAATATTCAAAAAATATTCGTGGTATCTCTACTTTTTACTATTGGTTTTTTTACCATCGACTTTAAATTTAGAATGCAAAGTTTTTCATGGCATATCAATCATATTACAATAAATTCTTAATGTGATTAGCTGAGTTGTTTGGCAGATTACTTAGCTGACTTTATTGTGACTTATTTTTGCGGTGATTGTGTGGTATGATAATTTACTGACAATCACTAGTGACGATCACTAGTGGTTGTCAGTCAATTATCCATAAGAACTACTTAATCACCAGCAATGGGCGCATAGGGACGATAATGATTTTTAATTGTAAAAAATATTATTAGCGCATCTATGAACTGTTTTTATTAAAAGAAAGTCTTAACACTTACAAAATTATACAAATACCTGGAATTGTATTGAAACAGTATTTCAAATTTATTGTTTAAAAAAGTACTCAAATTTCTAAAGAAAAAATTTTGAAGTTTACACTTTTGAAAAATCTTAATGAAGCGTTTTGAAGATATTACAACTTGAAGAAAAACATTTTTATAAAATTTCACAATCAGAGATATAGATCAAAACTTAGAAGTTCGAGATTTGATGCCGTGTCTGACCATATAAACCAAAATGCTGGCTCCGCCCAGATAAAATAAAGAGCTTTAATATATTTAAAGAATACAAATTTAACACAAACTTTATCATAGTATTACAAAAAACATTTATTAAGTGATTTGTATATGTTTAGTTTGTGTGTTTTAATTTTATTATTCTTTAAATTATTTTATTATTAATGTTATTTTATTTGCTACTCTTAAAAAAAATTTTATTTGGCTTTCAAACCCCACTAAAAAACCCTATTAAAAAAAAAAGTTTTTAGTTGGCTTTCAAACCCCATTAAAAAAAGTTTTTAGTGGGGTTTGAAACTTTAATATTATTTTTTTTAAATCTTTAATTAGATGGTTTTAAATTTTTTTAATTTATATCTTGCTATACTTTTATCTGTCATTTGGTTGTCCATCACTAAATAAGCTCTGAATGATATTATTAGACCAATTATTTTTATTATAGAAACAATGAAACTTGAAACAAAACAAGAAAATTCTGTTAGAACTAGGGAGGAGCATAAGGAACTAGAAGAAAAATATAATGAGTATGTTGATGAAAAATTACCTGAAGATCATCATCGAGGGGATATTACCTCTTCTGATCGAATGCTTGCTTATTCTGATGCTGTGATGGCAACATGCGCAACATTTCTTGTTTTACCAATAAGAAACTTAAAAGCCCTCATGAAAAAAACTGAAACTAATAGTGTAGCTGTTTCAAATACTACTTTAATGCATGATGCCACAACATCACAAATGTATGCAAATGAAACAATTAAAATAAACCAAACTTTATCTGAATTTATTGAATCGTATTCTAACGAGTTTGTAATGTTTTTTATTGGTTTCCTGATTGTTCTTACAATTTGGGAAAACATGAACCTTCGATCAATTGTGATAAAACGTGTGGATGATTTTATATTAACATTGGTAATTTTTGAAATGTTAGCAACTACCGTCCTTCCGTTTACATTGGCTTTGCAGGGCCATTATCCTTATGAAAAAGTATCAGTTCTATCGACGTGTGTAGTATTGGGGATTCTCCAAATAATAGATATTGGAATTGTTTTATATGCCACACTTTCACCAAAACTTTTACATGTTGATTTAAAAAACTGGTCAAAGGATGATCTTCGTGAACTGAGTTTGATAATGATTTTTCGACCGTTAATTAGTTTAATTCTACTAATAATTGCTGGCCTGTTTTGTTTGGTTCATTTTGCTGTGTCATGGTCTTTTATTGCATTATTAATTGTCATGCCTACAGTTCGAAAGGTTTACTGGTTTGTTCGTCGAAGAATGAAGAGTTTTAATGAAGGGAAAAAGGGTTCATTTCTAGAGCATTTTTCAAAAGGAAATATTTCAAAAGAACGTATTGAAATTATGAGCGATGCAGCTGTTGCAATTGTAGCATGTATTCTTATACTCGACATTACTGTTGAAGAGTTTCCCGAACCAGATAAACTCAATGGCCACAGTCTCACTTACGCACTGAATCATATGAAGTCTGAATTTCTTACCTTTCTTGCAACTTTTTGCTTGGTATCTGCTTTGTGGTACGTTAACCATGCAGTAATACATTTAATTAAAACTGTTAACTCTATTATGTTGTATTTTCAGAAGATATTTCTTTCATTTTGTTGCCTGTGTCCTCTTGCTGGAAACATGGTTTTAAGTTTCGCTACAAAAGGAAATAATGAATCAAAAGTTGCTATTCGTTTTTCTGCAATGATTGTGTTTATTTCGAGCAGCGCAAATTTAATCATTATTTTGTATGGTTTACTTACTGGATCAAAGTATTTACATGAATGGGCGTCATTTGAGCATTTTCAAAAAAACAAACGTCAACATATTTACACTTTGACTAAGGCATTAATTTTACCATTTTGGTCATTGATATGTACCTTAGGGAGTCTGGGGTCTCCATTTGCAGCACCTTACGTACTGTACGTAACATTCTTAGCTGCACCTTGTTCATTTTTTGTTTCAAAACTTATTCTTATGAATCATGTTGGTAAAGCAACCACATATTTAAGAAAAACCATTTTACGTCGAACGTCGCGTTCTAAGAAACACGAATTTCCATCAACTGATCGGGGTTCCTTTGCTGCAACAAACAAGATCCAAAACTCGTTAGAAACAAGATATCCGGATAGTTATGTAATAAGAAACGAAAATATAAATGAACAATGAAACAGTGCTATGCCCAACTATTTAATTGAGTTTACAGCTATTTTTTACAGTTAAATAATTTATAAAAAACTAACAGAAAATTTATTTTGTTGTAGTCATGGAAAATATTAAAAAGCAATGTTATGTTGGTTATTATGCCTATGTAGACAATTTTAAGTTTCTCATATTATGTTTTAGTTTACTTATAAGATTAAAGTTAACTTTTTAGTTATTAGAAAAATAGAAAGAAACTTATCCTAATAAAGATAAAAAAAATAATCTTGTAGAGATTTTTGCTTTAGAATTAAGAGATTTAAGGTTTAAGTATCATCCGTAAAAGCGGCACCAAAAACTGATTGCTTCTCCGCTACGCTCTGTTACTAGTCCGTTAGGTCTACTCTACTTTTTAAAGCACAATAATGACCGAATAATTTTCATCTCATTATTCTAAAAATCATTTTTTATACTCCCTTGTTGTCTTTATTGGGATTAAGAAAAATCGAATCATGTTTATAATAATTTTCAGATTTTTATGTGCACCATGATTTTGTAAATAATTTTTTATTTATTTTTATTGATTGTTAACTATTTTTTATATAAACAAAATACGTTAAGTTTGGATTTTAGTTTTGCATTTACTTTTTATTATACATTAGTTGTAAAAATTCTTTTTAATTAATTTTCTATAAAAAAAAAAAAACAAATAAAAAATTAAATGTTTCATTATTTATTCATAACAATTTTTATTGTTGTTATAAATTTTAAATTTTTTAATAATTTTAAAAGACAAAAGATTGCTTAATTTCTTAAATAAAGTTTAATAAAAACTAATATTATCTTTAACAATAATATTATCTTTAACAATAATATTATCTTTAACAATAATATTATCTTTAACAATAATATTATCTTTAACAATAATATTATCTTTAACAATAATATTATCTTTATCAAAAAAATTTTAAACGTTGGTTATATTTTAAAAAAACTTTGAATTAGTATGTTTAACTAATTAGGTATCTAACAGCTAAAAGATTTTTTTGGTAAAAAAATTTTTTTTGTCAATTTTCTGGAAGAGTTCTGTTTCTTACATTTGAAAGAATATTTCCTGCTGTAAAAAACAACATTTTAAAGTCTGTCGGTGTTCGAAGTGGTGTGAGGGATAAAAGATTACTACATCTGTCCAACATAATCTGTAGAGTAGTCCAAGATCAATCGTTTACTTTTGTCCAAGATCTTCTGCATTTTTTTACTCCAACAACATCTGTATAATATCATCTGAAAATGACTCCTAACTACATCTTTAACTGCTCTGATTTTTCTCCAAGTCCAATAACATCCGGAAGCATCTCATCTAACTACATCATCCGGAAGAATTTTCTCTAGATGTGATTACATCTGAAAAAAATCTTATGTGGAACTACATCTGGTTAAAATAATGCTTTTATATTTATTATATATGTATTTTTATTTATTATATATTATTAATGCATTATTTATAAAATAATGTATTTATATTTATTAATTTGTAACTATATCTGATTAAAATAATGCATTTATATTTATTTTTTTTCCAGATGTAACTACATCTGAAAATAAGCATTTATGAAACTACATTTGGTCAAAATAATGCATTATTATTTAACAATTCTTTCCAGATGTAACTAAATTTGAAAAAAAACTATACATGTAACTAGATCTGGTTAAAATAATGCATTTTAATTTAATAATTTTATAAAATCCTGTTGTTATATTTAATATAATTGAAAAGATCTAACTTCATCTATAGAATTCACAGATGTAGTTGTACAGATGTAGTTATTCTTAACATAATTGAAAAAATATAACTACATCTGCTATATTTCCAGATGTAGTTGCACTGATGTTGATACTTAGATAATTAAAAAAATATAACTTCATCCGTAGTAATCATATACTTTTTACACAGATGATATTAGATATCAATGAAATTTTAGATGTTGTTGGACAGATTTTATCTTACTACAGTGTATTTACCGATGATGTTTGACAGATGTTATTAAACATAGCAAAAACTGATTTTGTTACCCTGACCCGTGTGAGGTATTTTTTTGCTATCTTAGTCAATGCTAACTTGATTTTGGTATCTGCATTTTCTTCATAAGGTTTCCAAAACTCAAGGCATAAAGAAGCCATTTGACAATCAAAAAAATTGTTCAACCTATTATTTATCATTTTGAAAGTGCCTTAGGTTCAGTTTGAGTTCAAGATTATGAGAATTGCGCAACAACATTTGACATTATGCACAAAAATGATGCGTTTTTTTATGGTTGCCAGATATAATATGAGTTGCAGAAGCCAAAAAAAAGATTTTTGAATTTTCTACAATTAGTCTGTCTATGAGTGGATCTGAAAATATATTCTTTTATCACAAGTTGAAGAGAGTGGTTAATACATCCAGTTGAAGAGAGTGGTTAATACATCCAGTTGAAGAGAGTGGTTAATACATCCAGTTGAAGAGAATGGTTAATACATCCAGTTGTAGAGAGTGGTTAATACATCCAGTTGAAGAGAGTGGTTAATACATCCAGTTGAAGAGAGTGGTTAATACAACCAGTTGAAGAGAGTGGTTAATACATCCAGTTGAAGAGAGTGGTTAATACATCCAGTTGAAGAGAGTGGTTAATACATCCAGTTAAAGAGAGTGGTTAATACATTCAGTTGAAGAGAGTGATTAATACATCCAGTTGAAGAGAGTGGTTAATACATCCAGTTGACTCATAACTACAGCTTAGATCTTTAAAGGCTTCTTTTATAATTAATTATAATTTTATAATTATGAATTGTCTCTTAGGCAAAATTTAATTTTTGAAGAAATTTCCCCCTTCTCTGCTGTTGTTTCGATCTTGTTGAAAATGTTTTTTGCAGTATGCACTTCATCAAGTTGAAAACGTAAGATGCACTTATTCAACTTGATGAACCTTGACACGGTTTTAGCCTTCGGAAATAGATTAAACTATCATTCTCAGATAGCCATTATGAAATGATAACCATGTATCGAGACAGACTGACACATTTTCAGCTTCTAAATGAACCAATTTTTCCTTTAGAGTAATTTTTATTTTTTTATAAGTTGAATCCAGTAAATTTTTGTAGTTTTTTTTGTTAGCAATTTTGTAACTTGGCGCAATAAGAGGATGGTGCTTTAAAAAACCATTATCATGCTGGTTGTTTGAGGCACCAAATGGATGGTTCCTCAAAAAAACAGCATGATGCTGTTTTTTTGAGGAACCATCCTTTTATTAAAAACACTTGAACATTAAAAACATTGTTGATTTAAAAAAGTTAATTTTTTGCTTTTTTTATTGTATATTGAAAATTGGACCATTTTTTCTCTTGCTTGAATTTAATTCAGCCCCTTCGTTTGCTTTTGGATTTCCTGAACTTTCTGGTTTAAGTTTGATATCAGGATGACAATTGTTCATGTGTGACATTTAGCCCATATAATCCTTATTTTTTGGGTTTTCTGATATTTTTTAAAATTTGTTGTTGCAAATTTTGCACCTTTTTTGGACTGTTTGTTCAATTAAGAAGTATTTCCACACTAAACATTTTTTATCACGGTCAATGTTATAATGGTGAAAGGTTCATAACAGGTAGTAGTCAGGAGTTGCAAAGAGAGCCATCATTGGTAAAAAAGGAAACGTAAACGTTTTGGTTAAGTGCTATTCCACGATGCTCTGCGATAAATCGTAAGGACTTAAAGCAGCTAAATAACTAAAAAAAAAAAAGAATGACAAATATTCTATTCTAACAATATTCCTATTGTTATGGTCACGCTTTGAACTTGGTAGTACAAGATACCCTCAAAACCATCAGAATTAGAGAACATCTAAAATTACAAAATTGATATACAAATCTTTAGAACATGAATGTCTTTAGAAAATCTTTAGAACATGAATTATCAGGTGAGTAAATGAAAATATTCTCCCTGCGACACCCGGTATGTGCATAAAACCGCTAGACGCTAAGAGTTGAATTGTTTTATGCCATATAGGAAGAAACTGAATCTGAAACAAAAGACAGTGAAATTGTTTCTCGAATAGAAAGAGGCGACCTCTATAAGTTATACTATATACTGTGTATTTGTTTACTTTTTTAGGTAATTTATATGTGTTACTTTGATTTATTCTTAAGAAATACTTCTCATTTAAATTTTTATTAAATTTACTTGAGAAGATTTCAGCAGTTAGATTATTGGTATATTTATACATGAAGTTTAGGTGTTGGAAAATATTTATCTGATATATGTTCATCATTTTCATATCCATCATTAAAGGTTTAGTAACAATGTAACAATGTAACAATGAACTAAGCTGAAGTATATAAGCTTCAGACTATGTGAATTCAAGTATGGGCGAGTTCGATACATAATACTAATGGTTCTACTAATTTTTGATTGTTTTGAAAATTTTATATATTTTATGTGTGGGAGCCATAATAAATGATCATCCACAATAACTCCTAAAAACTTTATAGTATCTTGTTTTTTAATTTGTTTATAATTTATAATAAGTTTTGGCAGTTTTAGAGGAAGGTTCTCTTCTTGTGTTTTTTTATGAAACAAGGTATATTGTGTTTTTTCAACGTTAAGAGAAAGTTTATTTGACCTGAACCAATCATTTACTTTTTCTAATTCAATGTTCATGTCAGCATAAAGTTGATTAATATTGCAGTTAGATAAAAAAAGATTTGTATCGTCTGCAAACATGATAGCATTTAGTTTTAATGATGCATTATTAAAATCGTTAACATAAATTAAAAATAAGAGTGGTCCTAGGATCGATCCTTGAGGCACTCCACACAGAATATTCAGCATTCCAGATTTCTTGTTTTGAACATACTGTTTTCTATTAGATAGATAACTTTTTATCCAATGATATAATTTATTGCATACCCCGTATCATTTTAGTTTTTATAACAGAATAGAGTGATTAACGGTGTCGAATGCCTTGGATAAATCTATGAATACTCCGAGAGTAAACTTATCATTTTCAAAACCATCAGTTATTTGGTCGACTAGTTTAATAATGGCATGTTCTGTTGAATGTTTTTTTTGAAATCCGAATTGTTTTGGATTAAAAATTTGTTTTTTGTAAAATAAATCAAGTATTCTATTATAAACTACACGTTCGAAGATTTTTGA